TCTCTCCCTCTTTCTTTCTTTCTTTCTTTCTTTCTTTCTTTCTTTCTTTCTTTCTCAAAGGTACAAAGCATCAGAAGCCTGAATGAAGATTATTCATAAGACGGGTATCAGGTCAAATAGAATTGTACGCTTTCAATATGAATAATGGTCTTCAACACCGAGAAAGAAAAAAAAAAAAAAAAAAGCGTCTGCTTTCAAACACAGGTGACCTAGTCAGCACTTTATAAATGACTAGGGAAACTCAGTTTCTTCTTCTGGAAAATGGAATTGATAATATTAAATATTTGGTGAAGGGCTATTTGGATGTGAAACTGCATAAATTATATCCGTGATATTGGTATCTGATAATTGCATTTCCAATAGGAATTACAATTAAGACCCTTGCAATATGACATACTTTTGATCATTTTAATTTCCTTTGTGATTGCAGAGAATGATAATTCTTTGGGGGACTTGACTCCAATTTTCACATTACAAAAGAAAAGTATGGATAATGGAATAATGCAGAGATGAAGGGAGTCGTCGTCTCCAATCTCTTATTTCTCCCATTCCCATTTCTGCAACGGGGATGCCACCTGTGTTCCGCTCATTATAAAACTTTTAGCAAGAGGCTAATGAAATGCAAAGCTTTCTATAAGACCAGCACTAGCCTTCCTATCAAATCATCTGAAATATTTATTTGCTCTCTTGAATAATTGATAGGGGCATCAGCTCTCCTGGTCAATTGATTTATTAAGGGACTGTTTGGAATTAAACAGCTTAAAGATATTAGATTTAGCAGTGATCTTGCTTGTTAGCATATTCATTTACCTACGGGAGCCCCCATTAGATATTGTTAATACATGACGTTTCCAGTCACAGCCTGGATCTCCTCAAATTGCATTAACTCCAGGCTGTTTAGCCACAGAATAACAGGTTTGATTGAGTGCTTGGGTTTGGTGTAATTAGATTTTCCTAGAAAAGGGGGGACTACTTTAATGCCATGTGCATTAAACTAGATATGTCATCAGCATTACTGTAATTGGCCAACAGAAATGCCGGAGACCTGGCTGTGTCTGAATGTTTGTGTTTATGGCTCACCCGTCCATTCTCATAGATGGCACATAATAGCTATGCTTACTTACATATGCATGACCCTGGGAAAAAAAAAAAAAAAAAAGAGGAACTGACCTCTTTAATAAGCACCTCTTTTGAAAAAGGTGGAAAATTCTATCCTGAGTAATGGGATCAATTTTTCGTCTGTTAAAACTGCCAATTATTTCTCTTACTGAAAAGGTCATGTGGCTGGTTAATCAATGATGAAAATAGTAGGTGAACATACATGGGTATATTCATGTATTTGATTTGCATTTCGCTCTAAGAGGATCTGCTCCCATTTCAAAGTGTTATTCTGATGAAGGGCCACTGCCACGCCCCTGGAATTCTCTTTCACCCCCACCTTCTCCCAGGATTTACATCTTCTTATTAACAGAGGTGCGTATAGGAAATAAAATCATTTCTGATCACTTTTCCCTCATGAAGCTGATGCCTTGTGTGTGCCGATAGCACTCGCTTTGCCCGTGCGGGGACAATGAGCTTCTTCTCCATTTCCTCAGGTTCTGAGCACAGACAAAAATACAGAACCCTAGTGCGTTTTATGTTACAGGTCTACTAGGAAGTTATAATCAAGCGTTTATGTCACTCTGTAATTTAGAAGGCATAAGCTCATAGGCTATCCCATTCATTGCTATCAATTCCTTTTTTTTTTGTTTGCTTGTTTAAAAAAAAAAAAAACCTGAGGATCAGAGAGACTGAGCTACTTCTCTAAGTTCACACAGCAGACAGGAGTGGAATAATGAAAATATGCTATCTCTCAATGACATTGACAGTCCTCCGGTGTTTTTTGAAGACGACTCCCTAATGCAAAGGAAGAACTTACATGGGTTTAATCTGGGGGAACAGATTCGCCAGCAGTTGTTGACGGAGTTGAAGAAAAGTGGCCAATGGCAGTGTTTATATAGGAGGAATTATGGTAGCCATCATGGGAAGGAGACTTACTTTTTTTTTTTTTAAAGTATATTTATTTATGTTTGAGAGAGAGTGAGCGTGAGAGCTGGGGAGGGGCAGAGAGAGGGAAAGAGAGAATCCCAAACAGGCTCCCCACTGTCAGTGCAGAGGCTAAGGTGGGCTCAAACCCATGAAGGTGTGAGATCTGCCACCCCACCCCCAATCATACCTACACTTTGAGACAGGAGGAAGGTCGGCAAGAAGGCAAGAGTTGCCTCAATCCACTTCCATTGACCACCTGTCGGACTGACATTATCCCGCCTGCTTGTAAACAGTATCGAGGAAAACTATTTAGCCGTCATGAAATTTGCGATGGCATTCTAACCTCCAAGCGAACTTCTCAAAAGCAAAATGATTCCCAAAATGTTTTACGAACGTATAAACAATGAGTTGCATCAGCGATTATCTATGAGTAAAGATGAAATCAAATGGGAATAAAAGGTGTTTGAGACTACTTTACGCCATTATTTTATCCCCTAAAGGTACTTTCAATCCTCTTTGCCAGTTTCTCAAACATATAATCTTAATGGGACACATTGTGCCTAATAACAGTGATGCAGTGAGTTTGTCTATTAATATAGAGAATAATGAAGATGTCATTTCCTAGAAAGGCAATTTTTGGGGGGAATTAAACCTCAGAATTAATATAATCTACTTCTGTTACTAAATGTACAAAGATATGTATATGAATTTATGTATATAAATATGCCCATATATATATATATATATTTACATACGTTTATGTAATATTGTTGTAATACGTAAAGGAGAGCAATGACTTTCCGTAATGAGACTGTAAACTGGCCCCCAAATGTTGATAAGAGGGAGCCAGTGAACTATTCTGAGTGTTGCTGAAAATATTTCATGGCCTCGTAGCCTTCAGGGAGCTAATTTGCAGGGTAGCGGGCAGTATTTACTTGGGATAATACTTCAATGTTTGTTTTATGTAAATATAAAAATACATTTTTAAATTATCTAGAAAAATTTTTGTATCCTCTCTCTCTCTCTCTATCCCACACACACCCAGACCCACACACACGCGCACACACATGCACACGCACACACACACACACACACACACACACACGCGCCCTGCCATCTTCATGAGCTACGACCACAGAAGGTCCCTGTCCTACTATGGAACCCAGCCTCCCGTGGGGCCTGGGCACAGGTGTGGGGGAGGGTGAGCACCCCGAGGTGTTTAGGGGCTGTGTTGTCAGCATATGGTACATTCAGCAGGCACATCAGCAGGGGTCACCCCGAATTTTCGAACACACCCCAGCACACAGCTTGCGATGCATTAAGAATGTGTGCGAAGGTGGGAAGCTGCCACCCATAGGTGAGGTGGCCGCACCCCAGGGTGGGGAACTTCTCACTCCCGGGCCTAGCCCGTATTTTCATTTAGCACCGGACCCTACACATTAAAGATCCTGTCCTGCATGCGTAGACGCTCACACAAAGGCTCAAATCGAACATCCAAGAGCTGCACCAGCTCAAATGGCCACTGGCTCGCTCCAACCGCCTCTCCCAACATAGAGCCAAACTCAGACTGAGAAATACTAAGCCTTATAACGGTGTAGTGATTGGCCGATGTCTACAGAATGTTCCGAATACAGTTGTTGTTAACAGGGAAGCCGTGAAATGCTGGTCAAAACCCCCTAGAGATAGTGGGTTCGTAAGTTACTTAAAGCCTTTTCTAGGGCTCAGTTTCCTCATGACCAACATGGAGATATCAATCCATGATTGTGCACGATCAACGACATTTTAACATTTCTGTGAATATTATTTCTTCTTCTTTTCCCCCTCCTCTTCTCCCTCCTCCTCCTCCTCCTTCTTTCTCTTCTTCTTCTTTTTTTTTAATTTTTTTTAAAAATTGTTTTTAACGTTTTATTTATTTTTGACAGAGAGAGAGAGAGAGAGAGAGAGACAGAGCATGAGCGGGGGAGGGTCAGAGAGAGAGGGAGACGCAGAATCCGAAGCAGGCTCCAGGCTCTGAGCCATCAGCACAGAGCCCAATGCGGGGCTCGAACTCACAGACTGTGAGATCATGACCCGAGCCGAAGTCGGACACTCAACCGACTGAGCCACCCAGGCGCCCCGTTTCTCTTCTTCTTCTTAACTGCTATTATTATCATTAGTGCATGACATCAAAAATTCTGGATCAGATCAAGGAAATTAAGATCCCTGTATCCATTCCTATCACCACTGGCCACATCACCTGCTGAGTGTGATATGGCCCTAGGTCCCTAAGGGCACTTACCTTCTGTTTCTTTTCTTCTCCGTCTCAGGCTTTCTTTCCCACCCCTCTATTCCCTCTTCCTCCTACCCTGTCTGATTTCCCTCCCTCAGAACCATCTCTGAACAGTGTCAGAATCGCTGCAGGGACCACAAAGCAAGGTGCCGTGCACCCCTGAATTTGACGGCTCCCCCTGACAATAACTTGAGTTGTTTCTCCCAAGCTGCCATTTTTGGAGACAACGCGGGAAAGAATCTACGCAAATATTTGGTAAATTTCCCTTGGGGACTGTCATCTACAGATGCGAAGACGTTAAATATTCCACGTGGGTTTTTACACTTCTCTTTGATTACAAAGTCCCACCGCCTCGACTTTTCATAAGCAACCTTGTGCCATCCCACTCTGAACCAGGATCAGGGTTATTCCCCAAATTGGGTTGTCTGGGGCTTGATACAGTCCCCTGAAGAGGCCTGACAGGTACCATAACTTTTCCTCAGCCCACCGAGCCTATACAGCTTCCCGTTTCTGATTCACGGTCAGCTTGTCAGTGACTGTGAGCCCTGGATTCCGCATTTGTGGAGTTCATTGTTTTTTTTGTCTTCTCTGATGTGTGACCCTGCACTCAGAAGACCTCATTCTGCTTGTTTCTGACCATTTCTCCAACTTGTCAGAGCCCTTTTGATTTATACTCCTGGATTCGTGAGTTCCAGTCGTCCTTCTCCGTTTGGTTCAAAGCACAGGTACAATGAGCGATGCTTCACGTAAAGACATTTCTGTGGGGAACACCAAATATATTTTCAATTATTTTGGTTACGGTGTTGTAAAGAAAGATTAAAGAGTGGGGCACGTATACGTACATATACACAGCGTCTGTAAACAGGTAGATGGATTGGTATGGATGTATGCTGCTGAGCGTGGTGTTTATTCTTCTGACTTAAGAAAGCAGTTCGACAAAGTGACATGTTTCTGCCAAACAGCACGCATCAAGGTTTGTTAGGCTGTTTCTGACTTATCCCACGCATGCAAGGGATTGGGATTATATGATGCCCGTTACTGAACCGTACAAATAAGCAGTGGATGTTGAATTGAAGAAGAAACTCCCGCTTACACTCATCCCCTGACGTGTCATCTAGAAAGCCGAGTCTCATCACAAGTCTAAAAAAATAAAAAATAAAAAAATAAACACTAAACAATACAAAAAGGGAAGGGAAATGAATATCCTGAAATATTCATTTTCTTTTTCCGGAAAATAGAACATCTCCATCTCACTTTCAAGGAACATGAGTCCTCCTCCCTAACTTCTCACCCGCCCCCACCCTCTGGATCTCAGCTTTGGCGCTACTGAGCTGGTTTTTAATGTGGTTTCTTTATGCGTGTACGTGCATGCGCGCGTGTGCGTGTGTGTGTGTGTGTGTGTGTGCGCGCGCGCGCGGAGGGAGGAGAAGCCGTGTGTCTGAGGTGGTGACAACAGTCAGCGGAGCAAGAGCCTTAATCACTGTTTACCGATTTGGTCCATTTTACTAGCAGGCAGGGCTTTTCCAGAGAGCTGTTTGCCCGGCAGGGTGCAGACACTGCTTTCGGGGGCGAAAGTGCGTGTCTCCGCGCCGCGTCGCGCAGCACCCCGGGCACCGTCTCGCCACCACTGGCAGGGCCCCTGCGCGGAGCCAAC